TTACTCCGTGTACCCTGTACAAATTTCTCCCTTGCTAAATCCTCCTCAGAAAGAACCAGAACTTTCCACAGGTCCCACTCCTCTCTGTGAACTGCTCTTCTTCCTAGATAAGAGATAACAGTCCCGTGGGAGTTGCCAAATTCTTATATTACCTTGTCCCCTAGACACCTAAAGAATCTGTTCCATCAGATTTTCAAATTTAAAACTAGACAGTATGTCATGAAAGTCTGAAGTGATTTTAACTAATGCAACATTCAGGAGTTAGCCAGGTAGAAAATGTAGGTCTGCATAGAGGAATAAAACAGTCAAGTCGAAAGAGGCAGAGAGGAAGAATCTGATTATCTTTGAGTACCAGGTCCCATATGCTCCCAGACTCATCTACATTGTAGCCCTGAAGTTCCTGTGCCTTTATTTTGATTACAATAAATTATCCCAAACTATCTTAAACCAATCTGAAGTGGGTTTCTACAATCTGCAACTGACAAAAATCCTAACTACAACTAGGTTACTTAGTGACAGCTCTCAACAAAAAGCACATTCTATTTCTACATGCTGCTTTAAAAATATAGGCTCCATATTGTCTTTTTTTCCCCAAAGGAAAACTGTATTACCTTCTATTATTTTTCATATACGTCTGTGTCCCTGGGGAAAGCTGTATGTAAAGATGAAAAGGAATGCTATATCAAAAAATGCCGAAAAAGGTGGCAGAGGGAAATCTAATGTACTCCCAAATCTTGTGGTAGGGTCTTCAGTAGAGAAGGAAAAAGCTCATTCACTCCCCCTTTTCCCATCAATTCATTGTGATCTCCTACAGTCAAGTAGTATCTTCAAATAGTAAGTACTGAATTGACTGTCTAATGTAATGCAATTATAGCTAAGATAACTGCTCAAGTGTTAGAAAGTCCAGGAAGACCTGTTTTTGGTTTTAAGTCTAAGGATCAATTTCTCCCACACACAGCTCTGCTGCATCTTTCTTACTTCCTCAAGTTTCCAGTTTTAGCCCTGGCTGGGTAGCTCAGTTGGTCAGAGTGCCATCCCTATACACCAAGGTTGCAGGTTCAATCCCTGGGGTCAGGACACATGCAAGAATCAAGTAATGGATACATAAATATGGAAAACAACAAATTGTTGTATCTCTCTCCCCCCACCCCTAAAATCAATTTTTAAAAAAAGTTTCCAGTTTAGCTCACTTTTTCTCAAAACCACCACCATCTGCTATGAAGACAAATTATAGGATCTAACCCACCAGTGAGTTGTGAAATCAATTTAGTGGGCTACAACCGCATTTTTTCAAAATATTCAATAATATCAGAGTATATCAAATATAGCCCCCCCCACACGTTGTTTATATATGTACATATCTACCACATGAAGTTTCCATTTTTTCTTTTGTTTTGGTTGAGATTTATGATAGTCCCTGCATTTTACACAATTCCTGAGGTACATCCATAATGTAGCAGCTTTGCAGCAATACACGCATATGTATGTATGTTCTGGTCATTATATATAAATTTCTCACTGTGAATCAGTCAAAACAAAAGGGCAAAAACTGACCTAATAGATCAATATTTAATTTAGAATCTTGCTTTCAAATCCCAATATCATCACTTACTCTGCATTTTAATGCCTTCATCCATAAAATGGGGAATATCTCATATAGTACTAAAAAACAAAATAATTAACATATATAAAATCTCTGGTACCAACCCTAGCACTTACTAATTGTCAAATAAGTTTTAGAGGTCTACCACCTTTCCTCAGAGTGCTTCTATTAGCCCAGCCTAGCTTGTGACACAGAATGAATTTTCCTTGAAATTTCCAGGGCAACAAGATATTCAAACAGCTTTTTTTTTTTTTTTAAACCTTGTAAAGATTTTACTGCCAATATAATTAACATGGAATAGCTACAAAGATTCCAATTATGTACAAGGTCATTGTGAACCATAGCTGGTTCCTTCTCTTATATGAGAAAAACTGACCCCGAAAGAGGGAAACTCAATTACTCAACAAACATATTCTCAGGACTGTTGAGAGCCAAACACAGAGTAAGACTGTGGCCATGGAGTCACATGGACCCTGTCAATTGAGTGTACAGAGTAGGTAAGCAAAGCATGAGCAACAGTCATGTATAAATTAAGGTCTGACATCACTTCCGAAATAGCCGACAAACCAACCAAAGAACTGGAAGTTATCTCACAAGTTCTGACATTTACTACCAGCACTCACAATGCCAAAATTAGTAGGTGTATAGAAAGAAATGCCTAAATATACAGTGATTTTTTATTATGTTCCCATATTAAAAATTGACAGAAAAAAAACTGATGAAACAAAACTTATTCAGAGTGCAAAGACTAGTTATTTCCTCCCCTAATGGAAATGATTTATCTTATTTTCCTTCTGATCAACTTCAAAAACCAGAGAACTAGAACATGATAACTGTACTACTTATTAAAATGACTATTTCAAACTGGTCTCTTCCATCTCCTAAAACCTCATTATGAGAAAATAAGGCCACAAGGCCCTTACTGCAAACCTAACAAAAGAATCAATACTAAAGCAGAGGCACTAAATAGATGTTGAATATACAGTTCAATGTAGATAAGGACCATACTGAAATTAAAATGATGAGTACACAGAGGCAGAAACACTGCAAGAAAGAGGTTATGATATCAAAGTAAGTTATGCTGCATAATGCACTTAGGTCACTGGTCTAAGTAATTGCTTAAGGTCTTTCAGCCTAGGCTTATTTATCTTTAAAATGGGGAAGCAATTCTTCCTAAATTCCAAGGATGCTCTGAGGACACATGATTATCAACCTATGTATTGTAATGGTTCTTATACAATAAATTAGGACTACACTATGTCATTAGAAAAAACTTGTATATACCACTGAGATTTTCAAAGCCACTCATTAAATTGTAGCATTGAGAACTATTTCTGTCAGGTTAACTGAATACTAAGTTGGATATCTGCTCAGTAAAGAAATGTGATAGCCTTAAAAACAAAAAACCAAAAAAACAAAACAGTCTTATAAAACTGAATAACAACACATTCAGAGGCCTGTCATTGGTACTTAACAGCACAGTTAAAATAATTCAGAAAAATGTTAATCTCTGTTCCATTGTTATCCTTCAATAAACTGCTGAGCCGTAACTCAAATCTTTCAAATCGCAAATGGTTGAAGAATCTAAGGTACCAAATTTCTAATATTCACCCACAAATTTCATGGCTGGATTATCGAATTTTGCTAGACTACTTAACAAGATGGTATTCAAAATTCTTCCCAATAAAAAGATAAGACTATTACCACCATTTAACTAAATTTCCCTAAAGTGGTGATTTTCCTGCTCCATCTACAACGCTTACCCAGTTCCCTTCTCGTAAGCTACCACACATTAGTGGGAGTTGGCTGGGGTTATGCTGCAGCCTGCAGCCAAATAAAGTAAAGCTAACTGGAACTAAACCAATGGTCATTTTGCAAGGACACTTGAACTTTGGAGCACTGTATAAACTGCTGGTTACTTCTAACATTCCTATTAAGTTTCAATATTGGGCCATCCATTATATTTCACTGTAAATTCTATGTCACCTTAAAAACAGGAAAAGTACAAGACATTTCCCTGGTTTTTAAAAGCTCACAAATCTAGTCCAATTTTTTTAAGTGTAAACAACTCTTACCAATGGGGGAAGGGCCCAACTTAATAAAACTGGGAGGTGCTTCTCAGAGCAGCTAACCTGGTACCAGTCATTTGGGAACCACAGTTTTAGGTCCTACAATCCTATGCTTTTCAAGTTCAACAAGCCCAAACCTTTATTTTTACAAATGAGATTTTAAATTAAGGTTTATGGTCTAGTCATACTAGCTAACTTTTACACTGTACTATGTACCAGGTGCTGTTCTAAATCCTTTGAACCTATTTGCTACTTTAATCCTCACAACAAACCAACAAAGTTAGGTCAACTACAATACGCCTCAGGTCACAATGTAACAACGCCAGAATTCAAATTCAAGCAGTCTAGCTCCAAAATATATGCTCTTAAAGCACCAGGTTCTCCTGCTTCTCTCCTGAATGGTTTAAATCCAGCCCAGGGCTCTTCTACGACCCTAAGGTTCAGAGTTCCAACACGAAAAATTAATGCTCCGTATGTCCACTACTGCAATTTAATTTCAAACCTGTGACTCTTAAAAGTTCCTTCTCTCTGTCTGAAACCTTAAGTAAGCTGACTTTTGTATCCAAAATAGATGCTCTCTCTGGGAAACCAGAAGATGCAATGGCCAGTGAGAAAGAAACGCGATTCTCCGTTCGTTGTTGCTTAAACCGCAACACCTGAAGTGCCTAAAGTCTTAATAAATGAACTATCAGCACTTTTTCTGAGAAAGGCCAACAACTACCGTATTTTCTTGATGCCTAAAGTGATAGAACTGAGCTAAAAGGGACGGCCCTGGGTAACATATGGAGGAGAAGGAAGACTTCGAATTTATGCATCTGAATGCAGAGGAGAAGTGAATGAAGAGAAAAACGGGGGTGAGGAGGGGTATTACTCCATCGCTCCGAAGTGGGGAGTCTCTCAAGACTTCAGACCCTCTGTGTTGGAAGTTAAACCCAGTATTACACACCATTTCTGCCCCGACGGGTTTCAGTGTCTCTTCAGGCTTCAGGGAGGTGTTTACGTGGCGCTTGGAAACATTTCCTCAGGCCTGAAGAAGTGGAAGCCCCAGCTGGTGGAAGCCCCTCGCTCAGCGCCTTGCGGCAGGGGGCGCCGGGAGGCGGCGGGAAAAGGGCTCGGGAGCTTCCCTGGGATCCCTGAGGGGCTCCGAGTCTGGGACTCCTTGCCCAAAGCAGCTGTGGGGCCACGCCCGCCTGCGCCCCCCAGCCTTTAGGACCACCCCCACCAAACCTGCCCCCTGGCCTCGAGAGTCAGCGGCACCAAGGGAATCAGACCCGGCCCTTAAGGCAAGGGAGACCGAGGGCGGACGCGACCCTCTGTGGGCCACTCACCAGGTTGAGGGGTCCTTCCATTACTTCCATAGACCCCGGAGTAAGAGGCGGCCTGAGGAAGGGGAGCGACGGCGCCGAAGCACATGGAGAACAGCAGGGCAGCGCAAAGCAGCGACGGAGACTGCGGCTCCTCTCCGTGTCCCGGGAGCCGGGTGCCGGGAGCCAGCCAAGGGAGCAGAAGGAGCGACAACCTCACCACTTCCTCCTCCGGCGCCGCGGACACCGCCCCCTGCGCCGCGGTCCCACCCCCTGCGCCGCGGCCACGCACGCGTCACGACGTCACATGCGGTGGTTCAAGGTGGGAGTGAGGACGGGTTGTGGGTGGGGCTCAAGGAAGGCGGGTCAAGGGCTGACGTACACTTCTTCGAGATCTATCTTTTCTCTCGCGAGAACTAATCTTGAGTGTTTTTGAAGTCTCTTCTGACGTCTTGTGCGGATATGTAGCCTTGTTTCAGTTTAGCAGCTGTTGGCTTCTCTCATTTCCTTCCAGCCTGACCTTTCCCAAATTCTCTCTGCTTTGCTACAACCTCCTTTGCTCTCCCGTTCTCACCTTAAATCTTGCACTCGCTTGATTTTTTTTTTTTTTTTTGAAATTGAGCAGCGCTAAACCATGCCCTGGAATAGACTCCCTCGTCCCAAACACACATAAATGATTTAGGGCCCTGCCACCAAGTTGCTGACAAACTAATAAAGAAAATAATGTGGGCCACAAATAGCCAAATGTAATTCTTGATTCATTTAACAATTATGTACCAAACAGCTAATCCTGGGTTCCTTTGGTCAAGGAATTTATTGACAAAAAAAAAAAAAAATTTTTTTTTTTTTTATTTATACCGTGAAGGGAAAGGAGAGATGTGATAGTGGTAACATGACTTGTACAGGTTCAAGGAAATGAATTCTTTCAAAAGCTGTGTGATCTTGGAAGAGGACCCCAAGCTTTATGTGAGACCCCAGCCCTGGCCCACATCTTGACTGTAGCCTTGTGAGAGTCTGAGCAGAGTACCTATCAAAATCACCCAGATTCCTGACCCATGGCAATTATGAGTTGATAAATGTGTGTTGTTTTTAAGCCACTACGTTTTTGGTTCTCTGATACATGGCAAAGATAACTATTCAGGGGTAAAAATCCAGAGGCAGAACCTTTTTTTTTTTTTAAATCCTCACCCAAGGACATGCTCATTGATTTTAGAGAGGGTAAAGGAGGGAAAGAGAGGAAGAGAGAAATATCCATTGGCTTAGTTGCCTCTTGCACCCCCACAGGGGACCAGGGATGAACCTGCAACACAGGCACATGCCCTGACTAGAAATCAAACTTGTGACATTTCAGCTCATGGGAAGAAGATCCAACCAACTGAGCCACGCCAGCCAGGATCAGAGACACAGCTTTCTTGATAAACTGTAACCATGGATAGCGCATTCATGTCACTGTACTTGTCAATCCACAGTGGTTGGCTCTTCAGTGAATGTGTCAATACCTCTAGGGGGAACTTCAGCAGCAATTGGACAAAGAAGGAGAACATGACATATTCAAACACACACCAATATTTGAGAGCTACTTCATCCAGTCAGCAAAAGAGGAGACAACATGGGTGCACATAACCATGTCCAAATATACACAGATATTGCATCCACCAGCCCTGTTCTCTGCCATTTGCTGTCATGCTGTTGGCCTGACCAGCTACAGATTATCAAGAGTATGCATGCTGGACATGGCTAAGTTATCAAAAGAAAAGGTTACAAGTGTACAAAGACTTTAGAGCTACCCAGGCTGATTGTGGAAGTCCCCATCCTGCAGAGTCCTCCCAGACATTGCAGATGAAAAAATGAGTCATTCCAGACACACTTGGTTTGCCAGGAGAAAAGGGTGGCGATTTCCTCTAGTGGAGAATGCCCCAAGCCCTTCTCTGAAGTGGCTTTTATTGAGAAGGATATAGAGCATGCATGTAGAGCTTATCAATCAATACCTAAAGCTGTATTTACAGAAAACAGATAGACATCATAGATAACAATTGAATGAACACAGAGATTTCCCTAGGTCAGGTATTAGACAACCTGACCTCAGATGGTCATTAAGGTATGGCTCCTGAATTAGAAATTTACTCCTTCTGTTGGGAGCTTAAACATCTGGTTTTTCCTTATCAGGGCAGCGCAAAGCAGAGCAAGCTTCAGTGGATACAGTACATTCTTTAGGAAGATTTCCCACTGGAACCCTCAGTGTTAGCATGGAATCTTGCCTGCCTCCAGCATTCCCAGTTTTCTGGTCGACGCTTACAGTCCCCTTTCAAGGCCTGGCTCACGCAGGGCTAAAATTCCAGACACCACACAATTTGGTCCCCAACAGCTGCTTCCCTTGAAGTTTAGGAAACAGCTTGACCTGAAGCTTGCCACGCACTATTTTTCTACTTACAGGTTTGTATTCCTTCAGACATGTAGAAGACTTCTTTGCCTATTGGGATAAGTCCATTTATCTCCTGAGGCCATCAGAGGAGGGTTGCAGAAATTACAAGGCCATCCTAGCTGGGGACATAGTGGACATGCCTGTTATTGAAACAGAGATGAGAAAAGTCCAGAATAAAGTCTCTTCTGTGACCCAGTAAGATAGAGTCAGGGAGCTTTTGGAGCACATCTAAAAGCTGGTTCTAGTGCTCTCTGAAGCTCGCCTGGAAAATACATTCAATGTGAAAGAATCCCAACCTAAATGGGCCACCTCTTAGGGACCTGACACATTGGAGAGGTTCTTGTTATACCATGAGGTTCAATTTCATACGTTTCTTAGATGTTAGCATATAATCTCATACCCACCTATAGCATCATGATAGTCCAGTATCTTCCTGAACACTTACTAGTTCAGGCAAGTTAGAGCGATCTGTTGTGATCTATTTTTAAAAAGTTCTTTCTTTCTTTGAACTGTAACCTGTCTCCCCAAGACTGCCATGCCCTGACATTGTATAAATTACTATAACATGAGTGGATGAACACACACACAATCTTTTCCCTGCTATCAAAATGTAAAAGGTGCATAACCTCGACTCAGCGATCCCTACAGAAACACTAGCAGAAGTATAGAAAATAAAGGTATGTGAGGATGTCTACCAGGGACACTGTAAGAGTTCTCTCCCTAGTTCTGAAACAGCTGAAGTAAAACTAGAGAGCATTTGACAGAGGTTCAGTAGAGGGGATTTCTGTATCAAGTGGGAACTTGGAGATTGATGACCTCAAAAGTTCGTCTAAGTTAAAATTCCTCTGTGCATCCTCAGCTCCAGGAAGAGAAGGGAGCCGCCTCTTCTGTTCTCCCATTCTGTCTTCTCTGCCTCTGTTGCTTCTTTTGCCTTCAGCTCAGGAGATCTAGGGAGAAAGGAATCAAGATCAGGTCAGCATCAGGAATCTTCACGTGGTCTCTGAGGTTTCTGGGGCCTCTCCTCTGATTATGCTGTGCGAAGCGGAGTCCAATGTGCCTTCCACACCTGCTGTGCTGACAGACTGCTCAGTGAATCCATCCCAAGCACATGTTCTTCTACAGTCAGGAAACTCACAGAGCCTACCAAAGTTGCAGTAACAGGAAAAGCAGCAGAGGTGGCTGCAGCAGGGATTGCAACATCGGTACTGGGCACATGGCAGCAACCAAATCTGTAGGCCAAAGACAGAGAAACACAGAAATGTCAGGAGCAGCCAGCAAGGGCCCAAGAGGAAGAGGAGCCAACATGATCATGGCAGAATCACCACCATATCCTCAGTGGGTGTTAAAGTGGTTTGTGGTGGGTGCATCATGCATGCCCTTGGTGGGCACTTCTAGATGTGAAAGGGAGGAATGCACAAAGGATCACAACAGTATGGGGCATTGTTCTGTATCTAAGCACGGTGGTGGGTAAGGTTTTTACTGTTGTGATTTACCCTATTTTACCATCTCTGAGATCAGGTGATCTCTTATAATTGCTGTCAGTCAGGTGGCACTTGTGATGAAATTGTATTGCTTTAGGAAACCTGGAAGGGTAAAGCCAGAGCCATTTGCTATTGTGGCACCTTTTGCTGAGAAGTCCTGTGACCTTGTTAAGCATGACTGCCATTTTACCCTTCTGAGCTTGTCCCCAGGACTGAAACTGTAAAGCAAGAACAGAACTAACTGCTCCCCACAGCCACAGGCAGAATGTAACATTGGAACAAACTGCAGTCTCCTGTTACAATGCCTCCAACAGCCCAGGAGCCACACAACAGCAACCCTCCACCCTTTTTTAATCCAATTATAATCCAGTAAAAACTCAAAGTCCCCACCCCTCAATGCTGGTGTATCTCTCCACACATGCCCCTTTCTGTTCTTAGTGAATGAAAACTTTATTCTCTACACTTTCTTCCCTTTGTGAATCCTTTCATAGCCCACGTCACTGACCCCCTTAACAAAACCTTGAACCAATTTCTTTTACTGTTTCCCTTCTCATGTATGCACCAGATTGATATAGGACAAAAATATGACTAAGTCTGAAGAGCCAATCTCTTTTGCTATATATAAAATAAAAAATTAAGGGACAAAAACAGTGGCTTAACTGCAGAGAAAACCAGCAGTTAGCATGTAACCAGATGACCCTCTTTCCTGTACTTACTTGTATGAAGACTTTTCCTCCTGCCATATCATCCCTTGATATTGTTAAAAAACAAAATTCAGCCAAGTAAATTTGAAGATCTAATTGGCTTTATTAAGCAATTCATGAATCAGATGCATCTCATCTAGCAAACAGAAGGGTACTCATAGGGGTTGTACAAAATGGAAGATTTTTATAGGCAGAAAGTGGGTGGGACTAAGAAATTAAGAATGAGTTATGTTAGGCAAGGACACCTTCCGTTAAAGGAAGACAGGGGGTTCTTATGCAAATGATTTCCCTAGTGTGGATCAGGAAATTCCAGACTGGCTGGTTTAAAATGCCACTCTTAGGAGAGCTGAAACTTCAATTTAGATTAGGTATTAAATCTAAGCCTGGTATCATGGGCTTTTAGCACAAGTGACTCCAGTCTGGCCTGTGGCTTTTCTTTTTACACGAAGGGAACCACTGAGTCCCCATTTCAGTTTCATCATGAACAAAAGGGTAGACAGCCTTTAGCTTGAAATCACAACTATAGTTCTAGTCATTTGTGTTTAAGACTGGGCATAGTGTTGAACAGAGGTTAAACACTATCTTGCTTCAGGCTGATTCCACTGTTTCTTGAAGATTTGAATTTCTTCTTTTTCTG